ACCCCGCCCCGCCCCGGCTCCCAGAGCCGCCGAGAACAGCCAGCTTCAGCTCCAGCAACCGCGGGCCACGCGCCTGGGGTGTACCCCAGCCCTGGTCCTGGAGCAGCCGGCATGGGCATGGCCTGGCATGGGCTGCGGCCCGGCAGCCAGCGGTTCACAGCCCGGCACCGGTCCGCGGACCAGCGGTTGGGAACCCTGATCTAGGGCTGGATCTCTTCCCCCATGCATGGCCCAGCTCAGACACCAGATGCAGCTGCCATGGGGGAAGCAGTCCCCAAGACAGGCTGTCCCGGGCCGCTGGACAGGTATCAGCTTTTCCCTTCCAGAGCCGCCCGCTCTGGTCCGCTGGCCATGGCAGAGGGGACTCTAACGCAGGCTGGTCCCCCACGGAGTCTTTGGCCACTGGCACAGATGTAGGAACAGACGTAGGCTGGGGGATTGTGTCTGATCAGAGCCTGAGCCGTAGGGAGCTATGGGCAAGCGAAATCCAGCGTCCTTCTCTGCGTGGATCTGGCCCCTCTCTGTCAGACGAGGGGGTGGATTGGGGCTGGCAGGACCTCAGGAGTCAGGCGTTGGCCCTGCAGAGTCAGGGCGTGGTTCCGATCCAGGTGCCCCCCAGACAGGTCAGTGCAGGCTGGTGGGGGAGGGGGTCTGGCGTTGTCTCGTCTCTGCTCTCACATCTCCGCCCGTCGTCCTGCCGCTGGGGTCGCTGGCGTGGACGGGCCGGCCCCGCCGGGCCGGAGAACGGGAGAGAGCCAGGAGGAGAGGCCTGGCCACCTTTGCCAGGGATTAACCTCAGAGCCTGCCGGGTCTTGCTGCGGCTGGGGGCCCTCTCCAGGCAGGGGCCATGGGCTGGGCTGGGCAGCAGTGAGCTCCGTCCCCTCTTCCTGGGCTGGGCCCCAGGCTGTTTGGGCAGGACGGGTTCCCCCAGGAGCACCAAATAAAACCCTCCTGCCTGCGTGGGACCTGGCAGCCCCCAGCCCCTCAGGCAGTGGCTGGCACCAGGGCCCGGCTGGGCTCCACCCCT